TTGAACCCTTTGAATCTTTTTCTTACTCTTACATTCAGGTTCCAGTCCTTTGTTAAATTATGGACTTGAGAGTATCATTAAGAGGGCCGGTGAGGGGCTGGTGAGATGGCTCAGTGGTCTAAAGCACCTACTTAGAACAAGCTTGGCAAAGCACAGGGACTGCGGTTCAATCCCCCAGCACCACATGCCAGCCAGCCCCCGCCTCCTGGTGGGCTGAGCTGGCCACACACACACACAAATAAATAAATAAATAAATAAATAAATTAAAAAAAAAAGAGGGCCGGTGAGATAGCTCAGCGGATTAAGCCTCTGCTTTGGCTAGTGCAGGGACTAGGGTTCAGTACTTGGTTCCCCATGCCACACTGGCCCTGCTCCCAGGGTGTGCTGAGCTGGCCGATAGAGTCCAGGGGTGGTGGTGCATGCCTATAAACAGGAGGATCACCAGGAGTCCAGTCTGCACAGGAGACACTGTACCAACTATACAAATGAAAAAAAAAAAAACTATATCATTAAGGGATTTGAAGAAGAATGATAAATATATACATAATATATAAATATATACGTATTTCCTGCTTTTTTTTTTTTTTTTGGTGGAACCGGAGATTGAACTCAGGCCCTTGAGCTTGTCAGGGAAGCCTTTCCTGCTCTTTATAGAAGGCAAATCCCCAGTTTGGTGAGGGGACACACATCTGTCATCCCAGCTTCTTAGGAGGAGGTAAGGCAGGGAGAGTCAACCACTTCAGGCTGGCCTTGAGCTCACTTTGTGGCCCAGGCTGGACTCAAACTAGCAATGATCCTCCTGCCTCAGCCTCCGAGTGCTGGGATTACAGGTATGCAGTTTATGTTTCCTGCTTTTGGTCTCTGGTTGGCACTTAGGGGAACTTTGAAACTTCATCCCTGTTTGTTTTATCTTTTTGCTTTAGAAGGTACTAAGGTACTCTATAGATACTACTGAAGCCCAGGGCTGAGGAAATATCTGCAGATTGGGACAGTGAGAACAATCTGATTAGAGTTTGACCAGAGAGGCAGGGTGAGGCCAGGCCCAGGTTTGGGAAATTTCGCTGAGATTCTTGAGATTCCCTTGCCTTTGTTCCTTTAACTCTTTTTTTAGTACTGGGAATTAGTACTGGATTTAACCTTTTTGTTTGCCGGGAGGGCCTGTGCTATTAAGCTAGGGCCTAGGACTTTGCTTCTTTAAATTAGTTTATGTAGCTTTTGGTTTTAATAGTCGCATTGTATCTAATAATGAACATAGTTTATGCTTGTGATCTCGGCAGAATATTTATGTCTATTTTTCCCTCCCTAATTCTTTTTCCTTCTTAAAACTTTTTGCTCTGGTAGACTTTGATGACTATCTTTCCTGGCTCTCCTCTTGGTTTGGTTTTCTGATGTTTATTTATTGTTCCTTTAATGTCACTTACTCTTCTTGCTGCAAGTGTTTCTGGCATAACAGCATGTACTTTCAATTTTAAATCACAGTTCTAGGAATTTTCTCTTAGTGTCAGAAACTTTTCCATAATGGATCTCAACATTTTGTTTTCCTTCTCCCAGAGCTGCTCTTCCTTTGTGTCTTGGGGCCTGATGTATGGCACTCTTTGCCGAATCCTCCAAAGGACAAACCCAACCCTCTCCTTCTGCTTTGCTATCAACAGTAGATCGAGGAGCCTGCTCGATCAAGTCATCAGTTTTGCAACTTTTTAAATCAGTAATTCTCAGGATTTTTTTTTTTTGGGTCTGGCTCAGAATGCCTTCAGGGCATGTTTGGCTGGCTGGAGTTGTGGGGATTGAACCACAACAGCCTGAGGCAGACTGCTTTGTTGAAGCAGCCACTTAAACGACTGAGCTAAGGGGCAGGCCCCCAGTAATTCTCAAAATTGAGATTGCAGCTGTCAGCAGTTGCCTGAGAACTTGTCAGAAGTTTACAATTTATGGCCCCACAGCAGACCAGCTGGCCCAGGAGCCATGGGAGTGGGGCCAGCAATCTATTCCAAGGTGCCCTCAGGGGGCTTTCTCACACAAGCCATAGTCTGAGTACCTCTGTTCTAGACCAGTTGTTGACCCAAGGGACCCAGCATTGGGCTTCTGGAGGACCCAAAACACCAGTCACTGTAGTGAAAACTAAAGCCATATCTGACAGGTTCTGGCCCTGGTATGAATTGCTGAATTATTATGGTGGTCATCCAATATGGCTGAAGCCCTTAAAACAACAGCTTATTTTCTCAGAGACCACCTCCCCTCTTCTTCAACTCAGCCCAGGGTGCAATTTCCTTTCCCCTTTCTCTCCACCTCAGGGAAGGCCCCAATCAGCTCCTAAGGTATATCTAAGCATCCCCCTCATACTCCACCCCTGGCAAAGACCATAAAAGCCTCAGTCTCCCTTTGTTCTAATCCAGAGAAATCCTTATCTTCCCAAATTCTCTCTGTGTCCTCCAAGATAATGAAGCCCCAATCCTTTTGTAATAAAGCCCCTTTCCCTTTTTCCTTCTGCCTGTTTCTCTGCTGTGACACCATCAAAACCTATCAATATCCATATATATTCTTCTCAGGAGGTAACTTTTTAAATATTTTCAGGTGGGTACAGTAATTCCCAGATTGGGGTCTATTAATTGTTTTCCATTGTGGCCACCATTTTCCTTCGTTCCTTTTAACTTAGTCACATACTACAACAATCTTCCTCACAGGTCCTTGGCTGCTGGTTGCTACTCTTTTCAATGTATTTCTGGGTTGCAATGATGGCCATCATTTAAACTACTGTTATGGCTGGTGTCCTCTAATCCCCCAAAGCCACAAGCAGTCACAGGAGGGGCTTTTGCAGCAGTGGCTGAATCTAGTGTGATTAATTCATGGTGCGATGCTAGCATTAAAGGTAGGTGATTAATAAATCAGTCCACTGATTAGTTTGTCACTGCCCTAATCCTGGTAGCCTCCATGTAAGGGCCAGAAAGAAGCTTATCTTCTCCCTTGTTGCTTTCTGTCTACCTCAGACTTTCTCCTACCTGCCATGCCACCCTGCCACAATCCTCCTGTTTCAGCTCCAGAGTGCTGGGATTATAGGCAAGGACCACCATACCCCATCAATTTCGTTTTTTATGTATTTAACTGTGTGAGGTTTTTTTTTTTTTTTTTTTTTTTTTTGGTGGAACCAGGGATTGAACTCAGGCCCTTGTGCTTGCCAGGCAAGTGCTTATTCCACTGAGCCCTCTCCCCGGCCCCTTTTTATGTATTTAGTTCAAGGTGTCCACTACACTTATCGGACTCATAGTGATTCTCCTGTTTTCAACCTCCCAAGCGCTGGGATTATAGGCGTACACCACCATGCCCCATCTCATTTGCCATCTCAGTACGCTCTGGGGTGGGGGGGCCAGTATGGCACACTGGGGATGGAACCCTGGTCCCTGTGCCTGCCTAAGCAGGTGCTTTAGTCTGATGAACTATCTGGCTGGCTCCAAATCCCCATCAATTTCTGAGTGGCATTCACTTATTTTTCATTTTAAAAAACCTCCTTAATGTTTGGCTTAATAGGAAATAACCAGTCATGGTATCTGGTAGTTTCTTAGAAAGTAGTTGCAATGTGGATTAAGTCTGAAACCAGGACAGTGAACTTTCTGAGTTCTTCTACATTGAAATCTACCAGACACATTTTTTTTGATACAAGGTTTCACTGGCCTTGAACTCACAGGAATCCTGTCTCATCGCTGAAGTGCTGGGTGTGGCTTACCACACCTAGTTTGTCAGTTTGTATCTTTTTTTTTTTTTTTTTTGGCAGAACCAGGGATTGAACTCAGGCCCTTGCTCTTGCCAGGGAAGCGCTTATTCTACTGAGCCATCTTCCCGGCCCCAAAAAAGTTTTTTTTGCGGAACCAGGGATTGAACTCAAGCCCTTGTGCTTACCAGGCAAGCGCTTATTCTACTGAGCCATCTCCCTGGCCCCATGTCAGTTGTATCTTGTATTGAAACCTTTGTGACTTTGCAATAGCATATATTGTTACTTGTAAAAGAACTGCTTATAGAGCTGTAGAAATGGTTATATATATATATATATATATTCCACATATATAACCATGGCTGAGCTAGATAGCATATATAAATGTATCTATAACATACACCATTAATATTACTGATGCTTTTAGCAGATAAGTCTACCTATTGGCAAGCTGTCAAACTGTCAAACTGAAGAAGCAGGAGGACTGCTCCAGCCCAGCCTGCGCAGTTCAGTGAGACCTGTTTCAAAAATATAAGAAGGGTTTGGGATGTAACTTGGGTGTGAAGGCCCTAGGTTTAATCTTAGGTATCGAAAGCAAACAAACAAGAAACAAAATAAAACAAAAAGCCAATATCTTTGGGTGAAGTTTCAAAACCACCACACAAGCGCTTTTACTGGGGATAACTATTCTACCTGGGTATGCAGCAGTAAATTCTATTCTTTTCCCCCACACTTATCACACGCATTTGATACAATTATTAAAAAATATCTTTACTTAGAAATCTTAAATTTTGTGTGAGTACACAGAGATGAACATACAACCATTGCTAGTTTGGCAATACCGCCGCGGTTCCTGCTAATAATGGATTAGCAGTTTATTGATCCTTAGCTCACAGATCCACAAAATGCAAAAGGCCTATCAAGTCGTAGAGCTGTACTATTAATCGTCTTGACCTTTCGCGCCCCCTCAAAGCCGCTGGCGACCCCAGGGCACCGCAGCTGGCCTTCGGGGGATCGCTGCTCCGGTGTCGCTGTTGCCTCTCATTCGCTTGCAAGTGGACCATGAGGTTACATGGCCCACCTGTGTCTTCCACGTGCATTTAGTGCCTGACAATAATTACTAATACCCTCCGAAGGAAGAATGCATTAGACGTTATAAGCAACGACTGCAGAGCCCTTAATTCACCGCGTCCTTCCTTAATACGACTCACATTCTGCGAAAAATTCCAAGGTTTTTGCAATTAAGACGGAGGGCAATTTTTAAACACAGGTGAGGCGCGGGAGCCGCCTCTCCCCAGACGCCACACTGCCCTTTGCTTCAAGTTTGCTCCGCGACACGCGAGCGCCAGGCGGCCGCCCGGCCCCAGCCCGCTGCCAGGAGTCCTGAACTTGACCGAGGCTGGGGGCTGAACTCCCGCCGCCGGCAAACACCGACAAAAATAAAGCCTCGGCGGCGGACCCCGGGAGCCGGCGAGCAGACGCCGACGCGCTAGACGCCGGCCGGTTGCCGGGGCGACGCTTCCGGCGGGCGCGCGCAGCCCGGAGCAGAAGAGTTGAGCTATGGGCGGCTAGACCTGCCCGGCGCCCGCATTCGCCGGCGGGAGCGCGCTCGCGGCCGCGCGTCCTCTGCTCTCCGGGCTCCGTCGTTGACGCGTCGTAGACGTTGGGGAGCGGGAAGGCGGCGGCGGCAGCGGCGAGCGGGCTCGGGATGAACAGCGCTGGCGGCTTCGGTTTGGGTTTAGGCTTCGGCCTTACCCCGACGGCGGTAATTCAGGTGACGAATCTATCGTCGGCGGTGACCAGTGAACAGATGCGAACGCTTTTTTCCTTCCTAGGAGAAATCGAGGAGCTGCGGCTCTACCCCCCCGAGTAAGTGCGGAGCTCCGCTGGGGGAGGGGCGCGGGCGCCGCGGGGACCCGGGAGCCGGGCGGGGGCGGGGGCGG